TATATATATATATATATATATATATATATATATCTTAGATGATTATTGGCCTTCATCTCCTTGTATATTAGGGTTATTGACATTGGAGTAGTGATAAACACTTAGTTTAATTTAATGCAGATTATTATAAGAATCATGTTCTTGATTAGAACGCCTATTTTCTAGGTGATGTTGCATATGAAAGTGACCGTAGAAATTCGCTTTCATGTTTTATTTTATTTGAACAGAAGGTTAATTACCAACAATTCTAATCGGCTTAGACAGACACTGTCCTCTACGAACCGCGTGTGAGGAGGCAATGCAGAGGCTGAATCAGTGACTAAGGTCCGCTGAGGGATTCAAGTCCGTCTCATGCAGAATTTGAACTTGAACTTGATGTCTATTATCATCTAAATGCCCTTGGCTCATGTTTTATTTTATTTACTGGAAGATATGGGGAACCTTAGCTAAGAAGATGAATTAGTGTTTTCTAATAGCAAACTATATAGTTATTTTTTTTTTGATTAACTTGAATATCCAACTCGCTATGCGAGCTGACTAATTCCAGGACGACCACCTGTTTTGCAGATAGCCCGGAGTCACTGTATTTGAACCTCATTGGCCACAAGTGGATTTTTATTCCTCCTTGGATTTGAACCTGAGACCTCCTGATACTTTTGACCTTTGAAGTCAAGCTCAAACCAATCAGACAGCACCCTTGTGCTTAAATTTCTTGTTTGGATTGAAGTTATGAATTCTTAATTAGATTATTGGTTTTCATTAATTACTTTTGTAATCATTCTCATTTTCTCATTAACTTACGTATTCAAACAATTCATTACTTTTGTCGTAGTTTCCCTAATATCGATCGTTGCAGTGTCACGTATCTCAAGTTGTATTTAATTCAATTAGGGATAGATTACTGTTTTTGGTGGTTTGCAGGATCGTGTTGTGACGTGCAACTTAACCTAGTTCTAGCTAATCCCTTGTTTGATTTGTATGTTCCGATAGAAGGATTGAAAAAATATCTTAAAAGAGATTGGAGGGTCTTTTATTCAGATCCCTATAAGAGATTAGCTAGAACTAAGTTAAGTTCACGTAAATGAACTTTCCTTTGCAAGGCGACGACATTGACCATCTGATCTCGACGAGATTCTTTTACACCAACGTTTACAAGAGGGTCATGTCTTGTCATTTTCTTTATCGTTTTCTTAACAGAAATATACTTTATACGAAAACACAGTTGAAATTCCGTCACATAAAACGATATTCGTATAGCGGTAAACCAAGTGAGATCCCCCAACAAAGTTTGAAACCATCTTGTTGGACACAAGTATGATAGTATATAATACTAGTTTGGGCGACATCATCAATGTTGATGAATTTGAAGATTTCACTTTGAAAGTGATTAATGAGACAATTAATTAATTAGAAGGTGATGAGTGTGTTTAAAATTGACTTGTTTTACTCTAACCTTATGATTGTGACTTAATTAAGGAATTAATTACTGCTTCTATCTTCACTACAACAAAATCGGGTTTATAGAACATTCTCAATTTCTAAGCGTTTTAATATACCTCTTTATAAAACTTAGTTTATAGGACCAATAAAATAAAACGTCCTACCTAAAGGTGTTGTAATTAGTTTATATGACGTTTTTTGATGTCGTAATAAGTTTTTTAGGATATTTTTAATATAAAGCGTCTCATTAGCAACTTTATATGACACTATTTGGAAAAAAAATGTTCTATAAAAACAAATGTTCTATAAAAAATTGAGTTTACAGGACACTTTCTTAAAAGTATCCTATAAAGTTGCTAATGCGACACTTTTTGTATTAAAAATGTCCAAAAAAAACTTGTTAAGACGTCCAAAAGCGTCATATAAACTTATTACAACACCTTTAGATATGACGGTTTATATTTTGGTCCTATAAATTAGGTTCTATAAAACGGTCTATTGGGACGCTTAGAGATTGGGGGTGTCCTATAATCCCAATTTTGTTGTAGTGCTTATACATCAATCTTGGTTCTTCATTTACTTTTTCCTTATAGGATACCATCAATTTTTTAGCGTCTTAATAGACTATTTTATAAAACTTAATTAGTTTATAGAACCAAAAAATAAAGTCACTATATTTAAACACGGTGTAAGAAGTTTATAAGACGTTTTTAGCGTCTTAACAAGTTTCTTAGGACACTTAAAATACAAAATCACATCAGTAATTTTATAGGACACGTTTGAGAAAATATCATATAAACCTAACTTTTAACATGACACTTGTTTTTATAGAACATTTTTTTTTTCAAATAGTATCCTATAAACTACTAATGCGACACATTGTATTAAAAGTTTCTTAATAAAATTGTTAAGACGTCCAAAAACGTCTATAAACTAATTACAACACCTCAAGATGTGACACTTTATTTTTTGGTTTTATAAATTAAGTTTTATAAAACGGTCTATTAGGTAATTTATAAATTGATCCCATCCTTATAAATTTAAATTTATTTAAATGAAGTTTCTTTTATCACACAACTTTTTTGAGTGAAATTCGAGAGGTTTGTAACCAATGGGATAATGTAACCTATAAGAGTAATAGTGAATATTCTAAATCATAGATCGTATGGTTACAATAAAGGCTGTTTATGGGTTGGGTTGATTGGATTGAATATATTTGAACAACTTAACCTAATGTTTGCGGTTTCAAAAATCTTAACCCAACCCAACTAGAACCAAAGTGCAACCAACTCAACCCATACGGGTTGGTCGGGTTGATTACTTTGATACATTAAATATTCTTCTAACCTAGAATATGTTATTTCTCTACTCATAAATTCTTTTTTATCATCAACCATTTGATACAACTTATCCATATTTTTTACGAATATCACATTCAGTTAATTTTCTCAATTTACATCTATATGTTCACAGTTACTGAACATATATACGAATTAGTTACATAAAGATGTGAATAGATTGAAAATATGTGTATATGAAGAGCATACATGATAGTATAATTGTCTAATGTACATATTAATAGAAATTCAACAATCATATTAAATCCAAGAAATAA